TGAGCAATGGACTACCAGAATCTTTTGTGTAACTCTACACATTTATCATGATTTTCACTGGTCCAGCCCACTGCACATCAAAGTGGGCTGTGTGTGTCCCACCATATTAATGACTTTAACATCCCTGCAATAAGTTTTTATGATTAGTAAAAGTGTAACTACGATTTTTTCCTGTGACGTCTTTGATTCCAATTCCAATTGAAATAAATGAGAATATTATGTGATACATTTTTAAAGTTTTGTGAGGTTTGGCATGAAAATCATTCAAAAACAGTAAATTAATTTGTTTATTTGTTTTTAATTCCTGCCTGTAGTGCAGTGAGACATTTACAGTGAACTATAAGGGGAACATATAAAGTGATTATTAGTGTAGAAACAGATTTTTAAGCGGAATATGATGTAGGAGCAGTCTGCACTGTGACTGGCCGGTTGGTCGTGTACGAAGGTCTGGTGGTCTCTGAGTTTCTCGACCCTCCCTCTCTTCACATCTTGTTTTTGTGGAGCTCTCTCTCTCACACACATTGTTGCTGAGTTCCTCTCAGGTCATCAGATTAATATCTGCCTGCTGTTCTTCAGAACAGGTGCAGTGAAGTCACATTTCCACTCAGATAAAAAGAAACTGCAGGCGGGGAGAAATCACTGCAGCGATGCAGCTTTAACAAATATGAATAAGCTCCAGCTTATCTTCTTTCCACACATATTAAATCAGGTGACTTGTGTTTTTTGGATTGTTGCTTAATCTCAGTGAAGAATGAGCTTCCACAGATAACGCCCGAACTGAGGAGAAGTCGCCGTGTTGAGAATGAGAAGTATGCGAAGGCTGAAAAGAATGAACTTTGGGGTTTACAACAGAGCGATACGGCGATGCGGGAGGTCCTGCCATGCCTCTGTCATGATCACCTGCTTCACTTGGTGGGAACAAAAGAGCTTTTGGTTGTTCTTTTCAGCCCAAATTTAATTACTTGTAATTTTACTTCCAAGAATCAAACATGCAGCAGCAACAAAGTGTAGAAACAAGTCAAGTGAAATCAGATTTGCTGGTTTGGTGACTTCAGTCGTAACTTTACACTTTGATTAACTCGATTAACAAAATAAGAATGAAGATTAAAGTGTGAGGGAGGCTGTCATCACCGTGCTGCTTACATCTTCTAATGTGTGGTGCAACAGAAGATCACACACAGTTCAAAGTACAAAAGGGAACACATAAACCCATTTACCCCTGAAAAACAGTCAAATTCCAGTCTGCTTATCCACGTCAGGGTCATGGGGGGCTGGAACCTATACCCGGCTGAGACACTGCAGACAGGCTGTCGCTGGGCCAGACAACCATTCACACTTACGGTCAGCTTGGAGTCACCGGTGAACCTTACCCCATCTGTGTGATTGGAGGTGGAGCAGCTGGAGAGTTTACAGAGAAAAGCCCCAGACTGGATCAGAATCAGTAAAACTAAATGATGACTGTGTGATGAACGTCCACTTAGAGTCTATTATTAACTTTCTTCTTCTTTTGCTGTGGGAATCACCACGGCAGATCATCTGCCTCCTTCTGACCCGACCCATAGCATGCTCCTCTTTTTCTACCTTCATGAATCTTCTCTCTGTTCTTCATCTTTTCCTCCTGCAGGCAGCTCCATCTCCAGCGTGTTTAGTCCAGTGTATCCACCCTCCCTCCTCAGCACATGTCAAAATCATCTCAGCCTCTAACTTTGCTCGATCTGAGGTGGCGGACTTATTTCTAATCCTGCTCGCTCCCAGTGAACATCTGAACATCTCCAGCTGTTTCACATCACCGTTAACTCTGGACGTTTCTGATCCAATATGGAAATGTCATTTTTAATAATCCACATGTTTGATTTCTCAATGATTTTGCACCTATGCATTACGATACAATTCATTATTGAAATGCATATTATTCTGTATAACTTTGTCCTTGAGTTATGTAAAATAATACATTTTAATGCTAAACAACTTGAAATAATACTGAAGTAAAAAAATGTACCAAATGATTTCTTGTCTAATATTCTGATTTCCTGTGGGTCTCCACTCTCCTCCACCTTGGTCTTAGTCCCGTTTGTGCTGCTCTATTGGGAATAAAATGCTGGAAATATCACTGGTGTGTGACATGTAACACAGAATAATATTTCACAAGATTTTAGATTTATAGAACAAACGGGCCTTGTTCTATTTGATAGTTTGACAACAGGTTTTATTGTTTTGACTTTTCTACACTCAGATATTTCTTTTGTCCATCACTCAGCGGAGCAGCGCCTCTGCTGACACTTTGATAACTTGAACTGTAATTCTTCCCGTGGGTTTAATATATTAAGATTAACATTCACACACATCCAGTGAGAGACTGACACCCAGACTGTTTGTCACAGAATATTGGGTTCAAAAACTTTGGGAAGCACACATCTCTCAACTCACATCCATCCATGAGATAAACACATCCTCCCCTTCACTGTGATCCTTTTCATTTTTGAATCATATTGAAGGTTTTACTGCCACAGAGACCCTGAACACATCATACAGGACACACAGTGTTTCTCTGGTGGCTGCAAAACTCAGTCATAACTCACAGTGTGTTTGCTCACACTCAGCACTCATTTGCACTTCAAAACCAGGAACACTGATAAAGTGATGTTTAATGTTCAGTGTCCTTCGTAGACTCTGTGGTGAAAGTCTCTTTATCGGCCTGCCGTCAGTGAGGTCAAAGGTTAGTCAAGCTTCACTAGCACCTGATTTTAGAACGCAGCTGTTTTGTTCCACAGGAGCTTTAATCCAACAAACCACAAAGTCATCCTACAGTCTCAGTCTCAGATGTGTGGGCAGCTGCAGCTGATCTTCTTTAAATGATCACATGAAAATATTCAGATGTGATGAAAGCTCAGGTTTTATCTGTTCTTATTTTGGATGGTTGCCTTTATTACCTAAGAAATGTATAAAAAAACAAAATTTCCTTAAACTCACATATGCAAGGATCTAGTGATTTATTTTTATTAATGTCAAGACTTCTTCCTGCCAGCGTGTTTTCATCATACTGCTGATTGACTGAGATCAACACAGCTGTACATCCAAGTCTGTGCTTCAGTTTTGGTGTTGAAACGTCTCTTTTTTTATTAGTCTGTCACTAATTAGCAGGTAAGCAGATTAACAGATGTGATCACATCTGGCTCCAAAATGAGGCTGAGGTCGAACTGCTTACGTGGAAGCTTCAACAGAGAGACATCAGTGACATCAGGGGGCGTCAGCCATTCTTTTTTTTCCATTTCATCTCCTGTTTCCTGTTAACACTTGTCTAAAGCTATTAAAGGCTTTTAAAATATAAAATTTCTGTCAAAGAACTTTGTGCTGAAACCTCGATTAGAAATCACAGATATGAAAAGTGTCGCGTTAGTTTCAGTCACGTGACCGAGGAACCTGTTTTCTTTCGTGTGCACTCGTACCCATGTAAACATAAGATTTTGCTTTCTTACTGAGCTTGAAGAAAACGCTTTAATTTTAATGTGCAGAGCAGATGGAAGGAAGGTAATTATGATGTCACACCTGTCTCCAGTTCAGCTATTTGTACACTTTGATTTCTGTGATTCCAAACGAACTAACTCTGCATGAAGAGGTGAAAATTGGCTCTGGTGAACTCCTGATGGATGGTCTCCAACAGGATGTCATCGTCTTGTCCTCCACCCATCCCTCCTTCTCTCTTCCCTCCTCCGGCTGTCATTCTGGCCGACGGGGGCGGCTGGAGCTCAGGCGTGTAGGTGAAACTGTAGGAGGTGCGGTAAATCAGTCCATCCAGTCGGACGAGAGACAGAGGGACGGTGATGACGCGCCGCAGACAGCGCCAGCCGTCACTGAAAACCGAAACATCGGGAACGACGCAGAGCAGAGATTTGGGAGACCTGAGAGGAAAAACAAGGACATGAAAGTCAGAGCTGTGGTCTGGAAAATAAATGAGAAGACAAACTTCGAAAGTTGCTGACTGCTGTAAAGATGTAAGGAGCAGGACGTCACTGGAAGCACCAAATGATCTGATCAAATATAAAACAGATAAAGTGAAGACCTTTAAAGAGTTTTTAAAGACATTAAACTTAAAATGTAACTCATCTGTATGAACTGTGTTGTAGAAAGATGCAAAAAGAAAAAGAAAAAATGCAAATGTGACATTTTTCTATACCTAATACTTCTTCAGTTTCTCCTTTCTGAGAATTTGAATGAAACTGTTTAAGTTAATGAGTATAAACTAAACATAAACGTGTGGCTGGTACGAGGTCTGAGCAGACAGCAGACACTGTGAATGCCCTTTTATAAAATATTTTATTTGAACCTATATTGCGCCTCTGGCTGGCCTGGCAGGGAGGGATCATGTTCCTAATTGGCTGCAGCTTCTTGCACAAACAGCACATTGTGGACGGCTGTTCTTCACACACGCTGCTGCAGAGCTGCGGCACGTTTGCAGAGCCTCGCGGTGAGCCGCTCTCACTGTGACCCTGACTTACGATGCCTCAGCACTTCAGGTGTGGGATCTGAGGTGGATCCTGACGTCAGAGGCCTGTTTTACTTCGGTTTGCGTCACGTGAGATTCTGTGAGAGCACGGCTGGATGTCAAGTTTCTGTGATGCCCGTCTGTAAATTACAGACGCCCACATAAGAGTTAGAGGGAGGATTGCTCCCTGTGAGCCAAGCTGAGTTCCTCCTACTGATGTTTGGTTATAACATAAACCTCTTTATACATCGCTCTGGTCCAGGCTTGGCTCCGACTATCAGGGCGGATGAATACGGGTAAAGAGGAGACTTTTTTACATTGATGTCATAACTTTCAAAAATGCTTCCAGTTAAAGTTGCTGAAAAAAAATGCCCATCATATTTTCCCAGAGTTCTGAATTTTATCCTTGAAAAAAATATGGTGCATTTTTCTATTTTCAACAAAAACAAATGTTTTAGAAAATCCTCAACAAACTGCGAAAGTCCCTCTGAGAAGCTCCGCCCCCTGCAGGGGCCATATAAATTTAACAGGTTAAGTTTTTAGGTAAAAGGCTTCATGTGACACTATTTTCCAGCTTTATATTTCGATCCTGCTGAAGCAGCTTTCCATGATTCAAAGCTGAAAACGACTCGTGATTGCTTGCTCACTTGTACATGGTCTCTGCTTCGCCGTTGCCAAACCAGACTTTCAGATGAGGAGTGAAGTTTTCTCCGTGAATTTCCAGCATGGCGACGTGCCCTCCACCGTTCACCTGCAGGAAGAAAAAAGGAACTCTGGATCTCCTTGTTTTGAGTGGTTTGCTGCATTTCTAGCTAACAGCACATTTAGGTTTTTATAAAAATATTATAAAACACATGAGAACCACACAATGTGAAGGTTTGTCTTGGCACTTCACCTCTAACCCAGTGACAACAGGAAATGGGCTAACTGGTGTCGTGATACAAGCTAGACCCTGATTGAAAGTGAACTCTACGACTTCCACCCCGATGATGGTCCAACAGGACCCGTCATTCAGCACCACTTTGCTGGGATCTCTGACGCTGAACGGGGCCTGAAGGGAAGAAAAAGATGGAGGAGATCGTTAAAAGGAAGAAACATGTCAACAGGACAAACGTGAAGGTGTCAGCTGGAAGAAATAAACACAGGCAGGTGGAGGACGAATCGAAAACAAAGGCTGGGAAAGAGAAGAGAACCTGGTACTGTATGATGGCGTCGTTGGTTAGACACAAATAGGCGTGAGGGTTGTCTCTGAACTGAAAGGCGCACTTATGGAGCTGAGAAACGGGCTCGTCCACGTCTAAGATGGCGTGCTGCTTGTTGACCTTTCGGATCACCTGAAGATGAAGAACTTTAGCTTAGAATCGTTTTATGAATAACTAAAATATTTCCCCAATAATAACAACTTAACTGCTAGAAAAAAACGGTGCTATCAGGCATGATTTGGAGGGTCACTGTTTATCTGTTCTAGCAGCTCTTTGAGGCGAATGTGAAATGCAGTTCACATTTGTTTTAGTTGGAGCCAGTTCGCCTGTTTATGTGTGTAAATAAAAATGCATTGAAATCATTTAATTATAAGTCACTGAATTTACAAATAGGTTAAAAACTTTGGTTTATTACAAATGCTAAATACACTGAAACTCAGTGTGCTGATAGAAGAAAAAACAAAGGAAAGGAGAGTTTTTAAATATAGAAAAAATTAAGTTTAAATGATGCTTTTGTTTGGATTTTGCAGGTGGAGAATTTGAATTTGCTGTCAGGACACTGCAGCTGTGGGAGGATCACAGCTCGAGGCGGTGCGTCTGATTGTGCTTACGGACAGTTTCTAGAAATAAAAGGGCTTAATCATCACTTTACAAAGATTTTAACATATTCACACATCCTACTGTGGTCTTATATAACTGTATATTATTACCAGGTATGATTGCTGAGGGTAATAAAAACATAAATCTGTCTAATACATCTACAATAACAGTTTGTTTTAGATCTGTTGAAGAAGAAATACCACGGGCTTCTAAAAACCATCCAAATATATCATCTCACAGATGTACAGTCAGAGATCAGGAGAGTAAAATAAACAGTGAGCAGCTGTCTGAGATAACACAACCAGCAGAAACTGAGCGATTCGGGTTTTAATGTACAAACATCATCCAGGTGTATCTGTGGAGGTTGGACACTGAATTAACTGTGGTGTTTTCTGGCGCTGAGTCCAAACCTCAGTATTAAGACACTTAAATGTGCCCTAAACTGCACCACACACACAATCTGAAACTCTTTGTTCTCGTGCTGCTGAGCGTTTTGTCTTCACCTCTCCGGTCGCTGAACGCCGACCACGACCACCACAGTCCAACGCCAGCTTTCTCTGTCTTTAAACAAACCGGCTGCAATAGGCCTCAACTACAAAAACATATAGAGGTGTAGTGTGCGGGTATACCCTCACCAATCACCAGCAGGCCAGCAGCTCAAGGTGTTATGACAGCAGTTTAGGAAGTACAGAGAAAGGGTGTGCTCAGCGAAATGTGACGGACGGCAGTGCAGACGTTTGTCTAAGAACGGCTCAAACTGGAAGGATATCTGTGGGATTAGCAGCTTATGTAACACCTGCACAGACACACATCTGGAAGTCATTCAGTATTGAGCAGCGATTATACCTTAACTGATTTTATGGTCAAATAATTAGTGCAGAGCGCACCCATTTCCCCACTAATTTCCAGCTATAGATGGTTATAAAGAGCTTCTTTTGTTGATAAGATATTGAAACATCAACATTGATTAATCCAACTTACTTCCAGGAATCTGGTGTCTCTCTAACAAACACTTCAGCAGTGTGTCTGCTTTGGGATTTAAAGATTCTTAGTAAACTAGCAGGATTTTCCCAAATCTCGTGGTTATTGTTTTAATATCCTGAGATGAGCTCAGAGAATTTCAGTCAAGACTTCTGAATTTACAGGGTTGTTTAATCTCAGTGGTCGATTGTTTCATGTATATCAGCCAAACTAGAAACTAGATTTAGGAACATAAACTGTGGCTAATCTGGAAAACACTCCATGTTTCCACCAGAAAAAACTATTTACTGCCCCAAATTTGGAACTAATGACACCTGTGGGAGGGGCTATTCCTAGAAATTTCCTAATGTTTTACAGACGCACACCTGAGATCCAGTCTGACACAATTTTCTTTTCACAGAAAAAAATAAATAAAAATCATTTGATTCTCCATTTTGTAGAAATGTGGCATGGTTAGAAAAAAGGCATTAAAAGGTATCTGGTATTTCTATCATGTTTTGATTTTTATTATGAGGTTTGTTTCCATCATCTCACTGTGTCGTCCTCTGCAGCTGTTTAACGGCACTGACTACAGCAGAGGTTTTTAAAGCTTTGGCTGAGTGCAGATAAAATTCGCTGGAATACCAGTGAGGGCACATATCAGAATCAGAATCAGAAAGAATCAGAAAG